TTTTTTTTGTTTGTTTGTTTTTTGTTTTTTTGCTGAGAGCAGAGAAAAACTTTTATCATTTTTTTATTTATCTTTTTTTTAATCATTTTTCCAGCCAAACCACACCAACACTTCCACTTCCAAGCCCTGCTCCAACCCAGCCATTTTTGAAGAGTTTTTTGAATTTTCCCAGCTTTTATTTTTTTTTCCCAGCCAAAACAAATCCAGTTCCATTCCCTGCTCCAACCCAATGTTTTTTTTTGCTGGGACCAGAGAAGAACTTTGATCATTTTTTTTCAGTTTTTACCATTTTTTCAACCAAAACAAACCAACATTTCCAACCACACCTCCCTCCTCCAATTCACATTTTTTTCAGCTGCTACCAGAGAATCTCCTTTATAATTTTCTCCATTTTTATGATTTTTCACCAAAAATTCCATTTCCATTCCCTGCTCCAACTCAGATTTTTTTTCTGCTGCTACCAGAGAATCTCCTTTATCATTTTCCCAGTTTTTATCATTTTTTCAGCCAAAAATTCCATTTCCATTCCCTGCTCCAACCCAACTTTTTTCCTGCTGCTACCAGACAATCTCATTTATTCTTTTCCCAGTTTTTATCAATTTTCACCAAAAATTCCATTTCCATTCCCTGCTCCAACTCAGATTTTTTTTCTGCTGCTACCAGACAATCTCCTTTATCATTTTCCCAATTTTTATCATTTTTTCAGCCAAAATTTCCATTTCCATTCCCTGCTCCAACCCAGATTTTTTTCCTGCTGCTACCAGACAATCTCCTTTATTCTTTTCCCAGTTTTTATCAATTTTCACCAAAATTTCCATTTCCATTCCCTGCTCCAACCCAGATTTTTTTCCTGCTGCTACCAGACAATCTCCTTTATCATTTTCCCAATTTTTATCATTTTTCCAGCCTTTCCTTTGCTGCCAACCCACGGCAGGGCACCAATGCCCAGCCTGGCTCTGCCCCTCCCTGGTGCCATTTCTCCCCCGGGAAAAATGAAAAATTATTTTTTTTTTTAATTAATGAACCCCAGGATTTCTTGCAGCACCTCCGCCGACGTCCTGCCATTCCTGTTCTCTCCGTTTTCCCCCTGCCTCCACCAGGATGAAATGAAAGGATTTCCACAGAGCCAACTGCAGCCAGCAAGAAATACAACTTAGATGTGAAAATAAATCGAGAAATGTGCTTCAAACTATTCATTGCACACCAGAAACGTGCAGCGTGGCTTAATGGTGGAATTGTAAATTTGTAGAGGGAAAAAAAACAGGAAAAAAAAAAAAATTTCCACGTTGATAAAAATTTTTCCATTCTCCAGGGTTTGCCAGCCTCTGTTAAAACCCACTTTTTCTAATAAGAAATCAGTCTTGCCTACACAGAAGAATAAATATCTCTAAATCCATTCACTTAAATATTGAAAATTCCTCAGCAAAAACTCTTTGTCTTAAATTTAAGCTCCTTGTCAATGTTCATCTATGGGCACACAGATGCTTTTATGAAATTAATTTTTTAATTGTTTAAAAACTGGATTTAAGGGGTGTGGAAGCATCAGAGGCAGCCGTGACAACCCCAAAATCATCCCAAAGCTCTGAAATACTGATAAAAAAAAAAATAAATCTGATTTTCCTGCACCCCTCCTGAATAACTTTTTCTACATATTGAGACTTCTTTAATACTAATAATAAATAAGTAATAATCAAAAAGCAATGAATGACTAAGTTATAAGCAATTAGTGAATTCTACACCCCAAGTCTTGCACTGAATAAACACCAACACCCCCAAACCTTTGCTCAGCTCACAGGAATTCTGTTAAATGAGTTTATCTGGCAGGGAAATCCCATCACTGTGCACTTCCCACAGTGGCTGCAGCAGCTCCAAACCATCCCCAGGCCTCGGGCTGAGCCAGGATTAAAGGATCATTCCAAATTTCAAAGCATTATTCCTAATTTTAAAGCATTATTCCAAATTTCAAAGCATTATTCCTAATTTTAAAGCATTATTCCAAATTTCAAAGCATTATTCCTAATTTTAAAGCATTATTCCAAATTTCAACGCATTATTCCAAATTTCAAGGCAATATTCCTAATTTCAAAGCATTATTCCAAATTTCAAGGCAATATTCCTAATTTCAAAGCATTATTCCAAATTTCAAAGCATTATTCCAAATTTCAAAGCATTATTCTAAATTTCAAGGCATTATTCCAAATTTCAAGGCATTATTCCAAATTTCAAGGCATTATTCCAAATTTCAAGGCATTATTCCAAATTTCAAAGCATTACCCCAAATTTCAAAGCATTACCCCAAATTTCAATGTATTACTCCGAATTTCAAGGCATTACTCCGAATTTCAAAGCATCACTCCAAATTTTAAAGCATTACCCCAAATTTTAAAGCATTACCCCAAATTTCAAAGCATTATTCCAAATTTCAAAGCATCACTCCAAATTTCAAAGCATCACTCCAAATTTCAAAGCATTATTCCAAATTTCAAAGCATCACTCCAAATTTCAAAGCTTTATTCCAAATTTCAAAGCATCACTCCAAATTTCAAAGCTTTATTCCAAATTTCAGTGCATTATTTCAAATTTCAAAGCATTATTCCAAATTTAAACGCATTACTCCAAATTTCAACATATTATTCCAAATTTCAAAGCATTATTCCAAATTTCAAAGCATTATTCCAAATTTCAATGTGTTATTCCAAATTTTAAAGCATTATTCCAAATTTCAACACATTATCCTGAATTTCATCACATTATTCCAAATTCCAAAGCATTACACGTGCCCAGGGGATTTCCTACTGTCACAACAGAGATCAGGAGCAATGAAATACAAAATTCTCCCACTTGTAACAGAATTAAAAACCCAAAAAAAACGAGGGGGAAAATCAGGGAACAGCAGGTGCCAGAGGAACTCCCAAAACCAAATACGTTGCTGGGGTGAGAAAGCAGAAAATGGGAATTATTTTTATTTTCCCTGCTCAAATGCCAGGGTAAATATTGAAGGCCCAGCTCTCCTGTTCCAGTTAAATTTGATTTATCTCACTGTGACAAGGTGAAGTTACCCAGAATTAACACCGGTGACAGGAGGAATGCAGACAGCTGGAGGGGAAAAAAAAAAAAATAAGCTTATTGTAATTCATTTAGTGGGGCCTTAAAAATAAAGCTATTTACTGGTAACTCACAGCTGAGAACTGATTTCAAGTGACACCTGCTCTGAAAATGGGGATGGAAATAAAACTTGCATACGAGCCTGAACTGCTGCACTCACTGGGAGGAAAAATTAAGAAAAATCAGCTTAAAAACAACCTAAAATATGAAATATTAGTAATATTTTCACCAGCATGAAATGCTGCAAGGCTACGCCCACTGGGAGGCAAAATATACAAAAATCAGCTTAAAAATCACCTAAAATATAAAATATTAATAATAATTTCACCAGGTTGAAATGCTGCAAGGCTGCACTCACTGGGTGGCAAAATGAACAAAAATCAGCTTAAAAACCACCCAAAATATAAAATAATTTCACCAGCTTGAAATGTTGCAGGCTTGCACTAACTGGGAGGCAAAATGAACAAAAATCAGCTTAAAAATCACTTAAAATATAAAATAATAATTTCACCAGCCTGAAATGCTGCAAGGCTCCACACACTGGGAGTCAAAATATACAAAAATCAGCTTAAAAATCACCTAAAATACAAAATAATTTCGCCAGCTTGAAATGCTGCAAGGCTGCACCCACTGGGAGACAAAATGAACAAAAATCAGCTTAAAAATCAGTTTAAAAATAATCTAAAAATATTAATAATAATTTCACCAGCCTGAAATGCTGCAAGGCTGCACTCACTGGGAGGCAAAATGAACAAAAATCAGCTTAAAAATCAGTTTAAAAATCACCTAAAAATATAAAATATTAATAATAATTTCACCAGGTTGAAATGCTGCAAGGCTGCACTCACTGGGAGGCAAAATGAACAAAAATCAGCTTAAAAATCAGTTTAAAAATAATCTAAAAATATAAAATATTAATAATAATTTCACCAGCCTGAAATGCTGCAAGGCTGCACCCACTGGGTGGCAAAATGAACAAAAATCAGTTTAAAAATGAAACTGAGACGTTCCAAGCTCCAAGTTTGCCTGACTTGTCCTTCCTCACCTTCTGCCACTGCAGATCCTCTGTCACCCACTGGCCACAACAGCTCTGCTCACTTTTAAACAACCAACCTGAATTGACAATAATTATAGCATGGCAAAGGGGTTATTTCACTTTATTTTGGGGAAAAAAAAAAAAAAAAACAAAGGAAAATAAAAAAAAGTTCAGGGGCACGTCCCAGGACTTGCATCCAGGGGAGCTGAATTTGAATTTGGCTCTTTTTCCTTCAGGGTGGCTCCCACGGGCTGCTCTGTGTTGAGGAAACCCCATAAAATTATCTTTGAGGCTTTAATTTAGATTTTCAGGTGATTTTTCCTCCACTTTTAAGGGCACACCAAGGGGGAAACCGCCCCCCCAAAAACCCTCCCGGGTCTGGCAAAGGTTCTGCTCCCACTCCTGCATCTACAGAACGTTCTGGAAAATGCTGAATGTTGGGAAAATGTTGTCACGCAACCCTCTAAGCCCAATATTGAACATTTTCCAGGAATTTCCTCCATCCCCACGCGTCCTTTCCACAGGATCAACATCCTGAAAGACACCTGCGAAATCTCTCTCCAGCTTTAATAACGAAGAAATAATAACAAAGTGAATAATAAAGAGTAATATAATAATATGAATTGTATTCTTGATAATAAATTAAAAACGGAAGGTGCTCGTGGGGTTTGGGAAGGTTTTTTTTGGAGAAATGGGGGCACACAGAGTGCTGAGGATGTGCTGGGGAGGGAAAGGCTGCAAAAAGCATCACCTGCACCCTGAGCTGAGAACAAGGACACAGCTGGGAACAAGTGGGATAAAAACTCACATTTCTGAGCGAGATAAACCAGAAACAGCCCCATTTCTGAGTGGATAAACACCCATTCCCATTTCTGACTGGGATAAACACCCATTCCCATTTCTGAGTGGATAAACACCCATTCCCATTTCTGAGTGGATAAACACCCATTCCCATTTCTGAGTGGATAAACACCCANATAAACACCCATTCCCATTTCTGAGTGGATAAACACCCATTCCCATTTCTGAGTGGATAAACACCCATTCCCATTTCTGAGTGGATAAACACCCAGCCCCATTTCTGACTGGGATAAAAACCCATCCCATTTTTGACTGGGATAAAAACCCATCCCATTTCTGACTGGGATAAAAACCCATCCCATTTCTGACTGGGATAAAAACCCATCCCATTTCTGACTGGGATAAAAACCCATCCCATTTCTGAGTGGATAAACACCCAGCCCCATTTCTGAGTGAGATAAAAACCCATTCCCATTTCTGACTGGGATAAAAACTCATCCCATTTCTGAGTGAGATAAAAACCCATTCCCATTTTTGAGTGGGATAAAAACCCATCCCATTTCTGACTGGGATAAAAACCCATTCCCATTTCTGAGTGAGATAAAAACCCATTCCCATTTCTGACTGGGATAAAAACTCACTCCCATTTCTGACTGGGATAAAAACCCATCCCATTTCTGAGTGAGATAAAAACCCATTCCCATTTTTGAGTGGGATAAAAAACCATTCCCATTTCTGACTGGGATAAAAACTCACTCCCATTTCTGAGTGGGATAAAAACCCATTCCCATTTCTGACTGGGATAAAAACTCACTCCCATTTCTGAGTGGGAGAAATCATAAACATCCCCATTTCTGCGTGAGATACACAACACTCATTCCCATTTCTGAGTAGGATAAAAACCCATTTCCACTCCCATTTCTGAGTGGATAGACACCCAGCCCCATTTCTGAGTGGGACAAACAATAAACATCCCAATTTCTGAGTGAGATACACAACACCCATTCCCATTTCTGACTGGGATAAAAACCCATCCCATTTCTGAGTGGGATAAAAAATCTCTCCCATTTCTGAGTGGGAAAAACAATAAACATCCCCATTTTTGCATGAGCAAAACACCAACTCCCATTTCTGAGTAGGATACACAAAAAACCAACCTCTGTTTCTGGGGAGGACGAACTCCCACTCCCATTTCTGAGCAGGATAAAATGCCATTTCTGAGTGGGACAAACAAACTCCCACTCCCATTTCTGAGTGGGACAAACTCCAATTTCTGAGCAGGACAAACTCCCACTCTCATTTCTGAGCAGGACAAACAATAAACACCCACTTTGATTTCTGAGTAGAATAAACACCCACGCCCATTTTTGAGTGGGATAAAAACCCATTTCAGAGCAGCACAAACACTCACTCCCATTTCTGAGTGGGACAAACTCCCACTCCCACTTCTCAGCAGGATAAAATGTTATTTCTGAGCGGGATAAACAAACTCCCACTCCCATTTCTGAGTGGGATAAAAATCAATTTCTGAGCAGGACAAATACCCACTCCTATTTCTGAGCGGGACAAAGTCCCACTCCTATTTCTGAGTGGGATAAAAATCAGTATCTGAGTGGAACAAATACCCACTCCCGTTTCTCAGCAGGATAAAATGCCATTTCTGAGTGGAATAAACAAACTCCCACTCCCATTTCTGAGTGGGATAAAAATCAATTTGTGAGTGGGACAAACTCTCACTCCCATTTCTGAGCAAGCCGAGCATCCTTGTGCACAGACGGACAAAAATCCACAGCAGGAGAGGGGCTGAGGGACAGGAGGCACAGCCTGGGAGGGGAAATGCCACCAGGGGAGGGGGAAATGCCACCAGGGGATGGGGGAATGCCACCAGGAGATGGGGAAATGCCACCAGGGGAGGGGGAAATGCAACCAGGGGAGGGGGAAATGCCACCAGGGGATGGGGAAATGCCACCAGGGGAGGGGGAAATGCCACCAGGGGAGGGGGAAATGCCACCAGGGGATGGGGAAATGCCACCAGGGGATGGGGAAATGCCACCAGGGGAGGGGGAAATGCCACCAGGGGATGGGGGAAATGCCACCAGGGGATGGGGAAATGCCACCAGGGGATGGGGCTGGCACGGAGCAGGGGATGCCCCGACCCGGAGGAGTCCCCGGGAGCGGCTCGGGGACTCCAAAGGTCCGTTCCAGCCCCGGGATGGCCCTGCCTGGCACCTGCAGCACCGGCGGGAGCCAGACCCTGCACGAATCACCGTTCCCTCAAAGCCAAAAGGCACCGAAAACACCTCCCGCCGTCCCGGGAGGGATGCCGGCACCCTCGGAGCACGGAGCGGGATGGTGGCACCCCCGGGTGGGCACGGGGTCCCGGTGGCACCCCCGGGATGGGAAAGGGGGTCCCGGTGACACCCCCGGGATGGGAAAGGGGGTCCCGGTGACACCCCCGGGATGGGAAAGGAGTCCCGGTGACTCCCCCGGGTTTGGGAGTGGGGTCCCGGTGACACCCCCGGGATGGGAAAGGGGGTCCCGGTGACACCCCCGGGTTTGGAGCGGGGTCCCGGTGACACCCCCGGGTGGGCACGGGGTCCCAGTGACACCCCCGGGTTTGGGAGGATGGTCCCGGTGACNACACCCCCGGGTTTGGAGCGGGGTCCCGGTGACACCCCCGGGTGGGCACGGGGTCCCAGTGACACCCCCGGGTTTGGGAGGATGGTCCCGGTGACTCCCCCGGGTTCGCAGCGGGGTCCCGGTGACTCCCCCGGGTTTGGGAGCGGGGTCCCGGTGACACCCCCGGGATGGGAAAGGGGGTCCCGGTGTCACCCCCGGGCAGTCCTGGTGCCGGTGTCACCCCGGGCGGTGCCGGTCCCGGTCCCGGTGCCGGTGCCGGTGCCGGTCGGAGCCGCTCACCAGCACGTCCCTGAAGAGCAGCTGCGGCGCGGAGTGCACGGTCCAGTCCACGGCGGCTCCGTCGGGGACCCTGATGCGGATGACGAGCGCCCGGCTCTCCATGGCGCCGCAGGGGCCGCAGAGCAGCCAGAGCATCCCCGCCCCGCGGGCTCACATGCTGCGGCCGAACCGGGCCGAACCGGGCCGAACCGGGCCGAACCGGGCCGGGCCAAACCAACCGGGCCGGGCTCAGCCCGCACCGCCCCCGCAGGAAGGAGCCGCTGCCCCGGAACCAAAGCGGAGCCCCGGGAGGAGGAGCAGGAGGAAGGGCGGGGAGGCGGTGCCGTGGCGGGAGGAGCCGGTCCCGCCCCGCCGTGCTTCAGTTGGTTTCGGGTTCCGGCTGTGCTTTGGCGATGTGGAACGGCGAGTCCGGCGGGCCGGGATCCCCCGGGGAGCGGGGCTGAGCCCATCTCCACAAAAACACAGACAGAAAGCACAAACACAAACAGAAAAACCCTAACACAAACCCAGCCAGAAAAACCCAAACAGAAAAACCCAAACACAAACCCAAACAGAAAAACCCAAACAGAAAAACCCAAACACAAACCCAAACAGAAAAACCCAAACNAAACCCAAACAGAAAAACCCAAACAGAAAAACCCAAACACAAACAGAAAAAAAAAAACAGAAAAACCCAAACACAAACCCAGCCAGAAAAACCCAAAAAAAACCCAACCAGAAAAACCCAAACACAAACCCAAACAGAAAAACACAAACACAAACACAAACAGAAAAACCCAAACAGAAAAACCCAAACCCAAACAGAAAAACCCTAACACAAACCCAGCCAGAAAAACCCAAACCCAACCAGAAAAACCCAAACACAAACCCAGCCAGAAAAACCCAAACACAAACCCAGCCAGAAAAACCCAAACACAAACCCAACCAGAAAAACACAAACACAAACCCAAACAGAAAAACCCAAACAGAAAACCTCAAACACAAACTCAAACACAAAACCCCAAACACCAAAACCCAAACAAAACCCAGACTGTGCCAGCTGCGCTGCGATAACGCGCCCCTGCGGAGCAAACAGGGGACGGGCACTGGGAATGGGCACTGGGAATGGCACTGGGAATGGCACTGGGAATGGCACTGGGAATGGCACTGGGATGGGCACTGGGAATGGCACAGGAAATGGGCACTGGGAATGGCACTGGGATGGGCACTGGGAATGGCACTGGGATGGGCACTGGGAATGGCACTGGGAATGGCTCTGGGAATGGGCTCTGGGAATGGCACTGGGAGTGGCACTGGGAATGGCACTGGGAATGGGCTCTGGGATGGGCACTGGGAATAGGAACAGGGAATGGGCACTGGGAATGGCACTGGGAATGGGCACTGGGATGGGCACTGGGAATAGGAACAGGGAATGGGCACTGGGAATGGCACTGGGAATGGCACTGGGATGGACACTGGGAATAGGAACAGGGAATGGCACTGGGACAGGCACTGGGAATGGCACTGGGACGGGCACTGGGAATGTCACTGGGAATGGGCACTGGGAATGGCACTGGGATGGACACTGGGAATAGGAACAGGGAATGGCACTGGGACAGGCACTGGGAATGGCACTGGGACAGGCACTGGGAATGGGCACTGGGAATGGCACTGGGAATGGCACTGGGAATGGCACTGGGAGTGGCACTGGGAATGGCACTGGGAATGGCACTGGGAATGGCACTGGGAATGGCACTGGGAGTGGCACTGGGAATGGCACTGGGATGGGCACTGGGAATGGCACTGGGAATGGCACTGGGATGGGCACTGGGAGTGGCACTGGGAGTGGCACTGGGATGGGCATTGGGAATGGGAACAGGGAATGGGCACTGGGAATGTCACTGGGATGGGCACTGGGATAGGCACTGGGGTGGGCACAGGAAATGGGCACTGGGAATGGCACTGGGATGGGCACTGGGAATGGCACAGGGATGGGCTCTGGGAATGGGAACAGGGAATGGCACTGGGACAGGCACTGGGAATGGCACTGGGAGTGGCACTGGGAATAGCACTGGGAATGGCACTAGGAATGGCACTGGGATGGGCACTGGGAATGTCACTGGGATGGGCACTGGGAATGGCACTGGGAATGTCACTGGGACGGGCACTAGGAATGGCACTGGGAGTGGCACTGGGACACCCACCACCTGCCAACACCTGGTGTCCAGCTCCAGGTGTGCCAGGGATGCCGCTGAACCTGCCCGTCTGCCAGAGGAGATCCCTGCCCACCTCAGGGGCAAAGGGGCAACCTTTGACAGCTCCGCAATCCCAAAAGGCCAAATCCAGCTTTTAAAACAAGTCACAGGGAGAGCTCTGCTCCACACAGCTCTGCAGCATCAAACAATCCACTTCTTTTTTTTTTTATGGAGAGAACAGCATTAATCTCAATTGTGGGCTATTGATCCGTGCATTTTATCACACTCTCCCACATTATCATCTCTGACAAACTGGACCATTTGAGTTATTTTATCAATTTAGAGTGGGGGGAATGGGAGATATATTTAATTCCTGAAACGTCTTCAAGCTTCTTCATATTCGAACTCTACTTTGTTTGAGCTCTAGGAAAAAAAAATTCAATGGCCATTAACAGAGATAAATTCTCTCTCTGTTCAATAACTTTATAATTTAGTTCCTATACTAAAAATTAATAGAGCCCCAGCTCCTAAGGATCTGAGGGACTGCTGGTGCCCACACAGACATCTTTCTGCTCAAATGAACCTTTTACCTGCAGTCCCTGTGTACCTTTCACTCAGCTCCATTTCAATCAGAGTCATTTTCTATTAAATTTTAAAGAATAGGACACAAAATGATGGAATTTCTATAGGCCTGCAATTTTTCTAAAATGTCTTCTTCATTTGTGAGACTATGGGGAAAACCAACTCAATTTGCCAAATTTGCATAAATATTACGTCGATTTTCCAGGGCTAATCATAACCTTAATCTCCCATTCTGATTTGTGTAATCAAACTTGAAGGTTTTTTATATCTTAAGAAGTACAGGACATCAAGAACATATTTATTGATACAGGTTTGGTTTTTCCACGGACTTCTTTAAAACCCAAGTTTAATCAGAAATTTTCAGTTGAAATACACAAATTGCTGATATTTATTTTATCATGCCACAGAAGTTTTGCTGTGAGATGTCACCAACATTGATTTTTATATATTATTCTTTAATGGTGGGGGGAAAATTGCTGTTGCAAGAACACAATCCGTGATTTTTTTAATATAAAATATTCTTGACGTTCTGCATTTGAGTAGCCCAAGAACCTCTCCTTAAAAAGTTCAAGTTCCCAGTAGAAGGATTCTAGAAACCCCATTAAAAATCATTTAAATAATTGATTACAACACAACATTAATAACCACATCACCAAAGTTATCCTTCACCCACAAGGGAACGCCACCTATTGGAAACGCAGGCGAACCCAATGGGAAGAAATGTTGATGTTTGACTCCATTCAGAAGGCTGAATGATTTCTTTATAATAACTATGCTAAAATACATTAATATGCTATATAAAAGAGGATACTCAAACTATATACTATTTTCTCTACCTCTTTCCATTCGTGATCCTCTCTGAGAGTGCAGCACCAGATGGGTTGGGTTGGGTTGGGTTGGATTGGGTTGGATTGGGTTGGGTTGGATTGGATTGGATTGGATTGGATTGGGTTGGATTGGGTTGGATTGGATTGGATTGGGTTGGATTGGATTGGGTTGGATTGGATTAGGTTGGGTTGGGTTGGATTGGGTTGGATTGGATTGGATTGGATTGGATTGGGTTGGGTTGGGTTGGATTGGGTTGGGTTGGGTTGGGTTGGGTTGGATTGGATTGGATTGGATTGGATTGGATTGGATTGGATTGGGTTGGATTGGATTGGATTGGATTGGATTGGATTGGATTGGATTGGATTGGATTGGATTGGATTGGGTTGGATTGGATTGGATTGGATTGGATTGGATTGGATTGGGTTGGATTGGGTTGGATTGGATTGGATTGGGTTGGATTGGATTGGATTGGATTGGATTGGATTGGATTGGATTGGATTGGGTTGGATTGGGTTGGTTGGATTGGATTGGATTGGGTTGGGTTGGGTTGGATTGGATTGGGTTGGATTGGATTGGGTCAGATTGGCCATCAGCTCCAACAATCCTCACCAGAATCCAACCAAGCATCACCCCAGGGAAACAATTCTCCAAGGACATTCCACATGGGAAAACAAGGAGCAGAAATAGAAATTATTTTCCCTTTCTTCTCTCTGTGCTCCTCTATAAAAATCCTGAGAGGGAGAGAAACGCGCCTGCCACAGCCACCCAAAGTGCAAAAGGAATGGAAACCCAACACCCAAAGGAATGATGTTAATTAGAGGATGGTGCAGCCAGGACTTCTCGAAATTCGGGATTTGATTTGCGAGGGGCTCGGAGCCTCCCTCGGTGGCTGCCAGTGCTGCCACTCGCAGTGTGCTGCTGCTCTCTGCTGCTTCCCAGCGCCGCTGGAGACACCGGGAGCATCCCGAGGCCAAGGAATAAACATAAACATACAAATAAAAAAATAAAAATCTCTGTCTTTCCAGAGTGCTGACACAGGAAGGAAAGGAGGAAAATCATTCTCATCTCGCAGGAGTCTCCGTGAGGATGGAAAAAATGCAAATCCCGGTGATTTGCTTAGCAGGGTCATTTACTCCAAAAGTAAGGAAAGAAGTTATTACCTGCTGAATTCCCACTGCAAGGGAAGGTGCCCAGCACAGGAAATTTTCTATTTTTGCTCTGTCACAACCACCCTGTAATGGAGTTCTGTCAAAAGGAAGAGGGAGGAAAAGAAGAGCTGCTTCCCCCAAAATTCAAACCCTGCTGTTGAATTTTGCTGTGGCAGGAGGTGGATTTGGGTTTTTGTGGCCTCATTCTCAGCAGTGGGATGGGTAAAAATACCCAGCAGTGACTTAAAACTGAGCTTAGGATTCCCAGTTCCTCCAGTCCTGCACTCATCCCCTTGGATAAAAGGAGGCACAGGAAGGATAGAGGCAGAAAATGCTGATTTCATTCTGGATCCTACTCAGCAGCTCCAAAAATCTCATTATTACTAGAATTTTCCCAGCTACGACCTAGGAATAATGTACTCATATATATTAAATTATATCAATAATACAATAATAAATATAATATATAATATATAAATAATATAATAATACATATATACTATAATATATAGTATATAAATGCTATT